ATGCTGTCGCCGCCGCTGATGCTGCCACTGCCGCCGCCGCCGTCGCCGCCGATAATGATGCTGTCGCCGCCGCTGATGCTGCCACTGCCGCCGCCGCCGTCGCCGCCGATAATGATGCTGTCGCTGCCAGTGATGCTGCCACTGTCGCTGCTGTCGCCGTTGACGCTTCTGCAGATGCATCCGACAATACTGATGTCACCACCGCTGTCGCTGTCGCTGTCGCTGCCACTGTCGCTGCCACTGTCACGGCCGCTGATGCCGCCACTGATGCCGCCACTGATTCCGCCACTGTCACGGCCGCTGATTCCGCCACTGTCACGGCCACTGGTGCCGCCACTGGTGCCGCCACTGGTGCCGCCACTGTCACGGCCACTGATGCCGCCACTGATGCCGCCACTGTTACGGCCGCTGATGCCGCCACTGTCACGGCCGCTGATGACTCCACTGTCACGGCCGCTGATGCCGCCACTGTTACGGCCGCTGATGACTCCACTGATGCCGCCACTGTTACGGCCGCTGATGACTCCACTGTCACCGCCGCTGCCGCTACTGCTGCCGCCGCTGACGACGACGCGCGTGCGGCGCTGGGTGAGCAAACCGCCGACCACTGTGCGTCGGTACCGACGACGACGACGCGTGCCGCGCGCAGACGACGCGGACAACGCGGCCAACGACGTCGCGACGGCGACGCGCGGGAGGCGAGGGCCGTCGTCTCGGCTCTCGCCTTGCTCAGCCACGCTCCCGAAGCCGCCGCCCCGCCTGCCGACGCGACGGTCGCCGCCGACACCGCAGTACAGCCGACGATAGCGGTGGTCGTCGCACGGCCCGTGCGCACAGACGACGACGACGTGCTGTCGTCGGGCGCCGAGCGAGCGACGAAGGCGAGCGGGCGGCGCGTGCGTCCTGGGCGCAGCAAGGCTTCATATCCCTACCTTCGAGCCACCTGCTATCCAGGGGGAATAGCGGGAGTGAAAGGGCTACACTGGTTGAGCTAGTTCTTATGAATAATCCCATAAAAGTGCATGCGAAAGACTTTATTGAACTTTTTAGCATTAAACTATAGTGTATAATTTTGTTTTCAAAGTAGTGTATAATTTTGGTTTCTCGATCGAAATCTGCGAGAAATAAATAATTGTGCAATAAAATAATATTTGTAGTGATTCTATCATTAGTGTACCATTGTGTATTTACTGAATTGAAATGTTGGTTAGATCTATGCTATAGGTAGAACGCGAAGGGAAAGATAGGTAAAAGGACCGTGACTAAAACACATGCAAATATTACTATTATACTCATAAAACCTCGCAATTATGTGATACTGCTACTACTGCTAAAGAGTTACGCAATTATGGTATTTTTAATTATAATAATTAAAATACTATGTAATTGTATAAAACAATTAGTGCACGATCCAATGTGGAGTNCGACATAACTGTAGCAGACGACGGGTGATGATGTCGCGCATTCTTCACTGCCAGGGTGGAGGCAGCCGAGGAGAGCACGTCGCGCCATCGCAGGCAAGCGCGGCGCCCGCTACCTTGATGCTAGAGAGCCGATCCCGCAGAAAGCTGCTGCAGAGGCGCGGCGGAGGTCGTCGCCGCCGCTGATCTGCCACTGCCAGCCGCCCGCCGTCGCGCCGATAATGATGCTGGTCGCGCTGCTAGTGATCTGCCACTGTCGCTGCCTGTCCCTGTTGACGCTTCTGCAGATGCATCCTGACCAATACTGATGTTCACCACCGCTGTAGCTGCCACTGTCGCTCGCCACTGTCACCTTTATGGCCTCTCGTTTCTGATGTCGTCACTGATGCCGCCGCTGATTCCGCCACTGTCAGCGGCACTGGTGCTCCCGCCATTGCCCAATACCGCTGATGAATCCACCTGTCACACGCCGCTGCCGCTCACTGCGGCCGCGCTGACGAGCGACGCGGTCTTGCGGCGCTGGTGAGCAAACCGCCGACCACTGTGCGTCCCGGTACGACGACAAGCGGACCCGCGTTGCGCGCGCAGACCACGCGGCACAACACGGCGCAACGACGGTCGCGACGCGACGCGCGGGAGGCGAAGGTCGTCTGTCTCGGCTCCTCGCCTGTGCTCAGCCATCGCTCCCGCAAGCCGCCGCCCGCCTGCCGACGCGACGGTCGCCGCCGACACCGCCAGTACAGGCCGACGATGCGTGTTGGCGTCGCACGGCCCGTGCGCACAGACGACGACGACGTGCCTGTTCGTCCGGCGCCGAGCGAGCGCAGGAAGGCGGCGCGGGCGTCGTTTGTGTCTGGGCCGCAAGCAATTGCCTGCATATCCCTACCTTCGAGGCCACCTGCTAATCCAGGGGGAATATAGCGGGAGTAAGAGGAAACCTACAGCTGGTTGAGCCTAGTTCGTAGAATAGTCCCATTAAAAGTGCCATTGCGGAAAGAACTTTATTGAAACTTTTTAGATCAAACTATAGTGGTATAATTTTGTTTCAAAGTAGTGTATAAATTTTGGTCTCCTCCGATCGAAAATCTGCGAGAAATAAATAATTGGCGCAATAAAATTTTATTTGTAGTGATTCTATCATTAGTGTAACCAGTGTATTTACTGAAACGAATATTGCGCTGTGGAGATCTATGCTATATGAGTAGAACGCGAAGGGGACGATGGTAAAAGGACCGTAACTAAAACACGTGGGCAGTAATATTACTATTATACTCATAAAACCTCCGCAATGTATGTGATACTGCTACTACTGCTAAAGAGTTACGCAATTATGGTATTTTTAATTATAATAATTAAAATACTATGTAATTGTATAAATAAATTAGTGCTCGATCCAATGTGGAGTTTACAATAGACTGATCACAGAATTTCGGCAACTATTAAAGTGAATAGGGTATGTCACGTAACTACTATCAAATATGTATACAGAAGATATAATAATGTGGGCAGTCAGCCTGAAGTAGATAATAGGGAACTATTATAGGGAACTTCCCTATTATCTATTTATGATCACATGGAACAGAGCTGGACTCATGACTGTCTAGCTTTAATGATTTCGTGCAGCAAGTAATCTTCCCAATAGTTATTTACGGTTCCCGAAATTCAATAATTGGGTATAGAATCCTACAGATGAGTTAATATTGGTTCAACCTCAGTTACTCAGGTAAAGTGTGATCACTCAGTATCGTTTCGATATCTGCCGACAGACATGTAAAAGAATCCGCATACAAATACAAAGTCTTCAAGACCATTATTAAATCCTTCATAGGACGCTAATTTACAGCCGGAAATAATGATTTAGACGGTTTCCTGCTGCATGACATCATTAAAGCTAGATAGGCATGTGATTCAGCTGTGTTTCGTGCGGTTATCGCGACATGTTTACCGACGTTTTTTTTTGAAAAACTATCGCTTATTCTCGAATCTCATGCACATTTACGGATAAAGAAATAGTACACGGACAACTGGAGACCACAGATTGAAGGTTTAAAAAACTAAATTCCATAAATTAATTCCAGTAGGCACTATAGGCACCTAGTCTTCCTCCAAATTCATGCCATCCGCAGCCAGATAAGCCAGAGTATCTATTGCAGCCACACGAATCATCGTTCCAGGTTTATTATCCAAGAGGCAATTGCCAGAAACACTTCTTTGTGAGATTAGGACAATGGTGACATGCATGTAAATTATACGCGGCGAGCATGTGGGGGTGGGTGAAAGGGTGGAGTACTGGTGTGAACCGAGTGTTAGCAGACGCTTCGACTGTTAGCAAGCACACTGTGGTTTTATATATTAATAATCGATTACCGCGTCTGTTATATCCGTTATCTCACTGGAATATCCAGGGTCTGTGAAAACCTCTCCACCCCGTTGTTGCATAGGAAATACTGGTGAACTGGCAGTAAAAGGGGGCGCATCCAGACACTGCATTTTAAGTCGGCAATCAGCACGCGTGGCGAACGATCGCTCCCTATCTTTAACGAGACGAGCACGCCTCTTTAAATTTTGCAGTTTACAAACCATATAAATAGCCCGTTAGTGGGTTATGGTTAGGGTTAGTGAAATAAGGGTATAATAATATAATAATATAGGGAAATGATTATAAACGCCTTGTGCAGGGACGTCATAAGACGTGATCACGTGCCCTCAATCTACGCCCGGGGGAAAGTGACACCCACCAAAAACACCTAGAACGTTTCGGCGCGTACGCAACATTTTTACTCGTACTAAGTGATAATAATTTAATACAATCAAAGTATAGAGACTTCACATAAAACTTTTGGCACCGACATGTTACGCATTTCGCTTGCTATTCCATCGGCTCCAATTCCAACATGGCTACATAATTTTAGCAGTAGAGTTGCGTAATATTTTTACAAAACCAACATAACTAACGATTAACGCGTCCCAGACGTATACGTGTACAATGCAGAACAGTACGCGTTAGTACTGTTTTAGTAACTGCTTTGTTCATGAAGCGACACAATAATTGAACACAGGCTGGAGGGCTACGAGTAATATATATATTTTTTTTTTTTATTCCAAGTATGATATGATCAGTAGTAGATAATAGAAGAATCTTCTATTATCTACTCCTGACATTATCATAAACGTGAAGAACACTAAACTCCGAACTATTCAAAGTATTATCCACTTAAAACTGGTCCCAAAAATACGCAGGGTGTGTGGCAAACCAGTGCGTAAAACAGTAAATTAATGATTATAGACGGCACAAGGCCACTTTAGAAGTACGGCAGGGCTGAGAGATAGACAACAATAGCCCAGAACGGCACAGCCATGGCTCAAACAAAGAGCTAAAAAAGCTGCGAAAATCTAGCACGAGATCGGCCACAACAAAGGCCTCAAAACTCTAAAAAAAATCTCGGAGTCATCGAATTTAACGTAGTTACTAAGGGAAGGAAAATCAGTTATATCAATCTGTCATATTGGGGCACTACATACCTCTTTGGTTCTTCCAGAAATCGTAGTTTGAAACGGATAATTTCGAAATGGCTGGCAGCCGTAAGGGCCTAAAATACACTGCCCGGTGTACAGGGTGAAAGAACCTCTGGGTAGTTTTTCTTCCCGCTTGGTGGCGGCATAAGACGATAAAATCAGAACGGGCGCATTTACAATTAGAATTGACGAAAATCACATAAAACGGTTGCGTGGATAGGTACTTATTGAAGCTAGCCGTCATCTAAGCGCTGCCATCACCAAAATGCAGTAATATCAATAATCAACAAGTTTTAACGGTTTTTAATAGCGATTTAATCACTAGTCATGCATTAGATTTATTACATTTTTACAATAGGCGCCAAAAAAGGCGGTGTAATACAATACTATGAGAAGTATTTTAAAATTATATATATATATATCAAATATCATATCACCTAATATCGATTTCACATCATCGAGACTTAAAAAAAGGAAGAATAATGGAATAATATTTTCATCATGATTTACTTTCTCCTCGTTGCACCGTATTGCAATGAATTCACATCATATTACAGTCGATGCACGTGTCTACTCACAATCTCTGTTGCAAGATGGACGCAAGGCTCTGTCCGCACTTAGTCTAGTGCTCGTACAAATACCTCCATAACAATCACCTCCCGGGCAAACAACCCCGCACAATTACCCCTGGACAACAACCCCCTGGACTATAACCGCATGTACACTAACCTCCTGGACAATAACTCCCTGGATAATAACCCTCTGGACAATAGCCATTTGGACAATCACCGCATAGACACACACTCCTGGACAATCACCCCTGGACAAACACCACTATGACATTCAGACTCACTCCCGGAAAATTACCCCAATGATTATAGTTTGAGGTAATTCGGCGATTATTGTAGGGAATTCGATTCCACGAAAACCCATATTTTGAAAGAAAATGGTAAAATACCATTGCATATTTTCTCACATTCATTCACCATTATTTTGAATGAAAATGTCAATGGATTTGATGGTAGGTGCGATCACATTTAGCTTAGGTTCGTCCTAACCATCAAAAGTTAAGTATTCATAACTGTTACATAATGAATAAAAATAAAAACTACAGGTGGGTAATTTTCAGGGAGCGGTGGGGGGAGGGGTGAATGTCCTGAGGGTAAATATTCCGGTTGGCTACCATCCGCATCCGCAATAGACAGCATTTATATAACAACTGTGCATGGGCTATATGGGAACTAAAGGAATGGGGACAGTACATGTGTTAGTATCTAGGATTGTGGTTATTGTCCTGACACGCGTGTCTCCTCTGCGCATGCCTCACGCTGTAACATTGCGGCTCTTTTCATCCTTACCACACCACACTCCTACATTCTACCCTGCGTCTACACGACCCTAGCTTGGCTCGTGCAGTCGAGGAAATTCGTCTATTTGAAGCACCGTCTCTTCGTACTCCTGGAAGACGGAGTCAGACGCTGGCGCACCCTGGTCGTGGCCATAGTCAACGTTGGTTAGGAACCTGAAAATTAGAACGGAGAAAACGTAAGCGAACTCTATCGTGGGTTTAAATAATTAATTGGTAAATCAACTTTTATCAAGTTCATAACCTTGATGTGATATTATGGCGAGAATGACGTGCCCTCTCGCAATGCAGTTGGAGCGTGTCCAGGTTAGCGTCAAACATTGCGTGGTTAACAATAGAAACGCTGGTAGGGGCAGGGAAGGGGTGAACTTGTTGGTAACATGAAACAGTATGTAGGCATATCGGTAGAAACGGTGGAAGGGGCAA